ATCTAGTCTGAATCTGCCCTCCTTTAGTTTAAAACCATCACCCTTCGTCTTGTTGCTACAGGCACTATTAATAAGCCTGTCTCCATCTTTCCTATAGGGCCCATTTAAGTACTGAAAGATTGCAATGAGGTGTCCCCAGAGCCTTCTTTTCTCCAGACTGAACAAGCCCAGTGGAAGTTTATTCATAGAAAGAAACTTTCTTCTTCAGCCTTTCTTCCTAGGAGCGGTGCTCCAGCCCTCTGACCATTTCCGTGGCCTTCCACTGGGCCTGCTGCACCAGATTTATCTTTTACACCATATTTCTTCCAACTGAATCTAAATATCATCGTGCCATTTCCTCATACTCAGTCACACACCCTCATTTCCACTTTCTTCTACATTTTCTTTTTCCAGATTTGCTCTAAGGATATTAGCCAGTTTCTGCCCAATTTTATGTTATTTGACCAGTCTCTTCTGCTGGCCACCACTTCCCAGCCTCTTTACCTGACCTTTTTCTGCCAGGCTTTCTGAACCAGGATCAAATCAAGCTGACAAACCCCTAAGTATTGGGGGAAGCTTAGTGTGTGAATTTAAGGGCTGGTGTTTGTGTAGGTAATGGTTTGAACCCAATCCTAAACTGAAACAACCTCAGGTTTCTGGTTCCAAGATATGCAGCACAGTTCAGTTCCTGCTGTGACAGTGGGTCAGGGCTCTCTGTGGTGTATGACAGCTGCAGGGACAGATTAAACAGCGAGAGAGTTACTGTCATATAAAGGCATGTGACCATGTTATGCTCCCTGTTCATGGAAATGGGTTCTTTGAGGATGAGACAAGCTGTGCACACAACTTTTGCAAATTCCTACAAGGAAGTCCTTTGGCATAGTCCCATTTGTCTCTGCTAAAAAACGTAGGTCTAATTGCAGACAGATTTCTTATGAGGGAAATCGTAGCAATGTTCACTGAAACTGAAGAAACCCACCCAGGCTCCATGCTAATACGTGGTCTGAGCTGAAGAGGCTGTTGCTGTAAGTGGCTCTGAGCTATTTCCTGTGCTGCTGCCAGCAGACAGAGCTTAACATGTGAGCTGCTCCAGGGGTCAGGGTGCAGGGGGGAGTCATGTTTTTGTCAACAGCTAAAGCACAAAGGAGTTGGGAAAGAAAAGAACCTGTTGTTGAACTGTCCAATTGAGTAATGCGAGTTGGCTTGTTGAAACCAAGTGAAGCACTCTGAAGCCCAGGGATCCTTGGCTTTAATTTTAATTCAGGAATAAGAAAATTCTTTGGAGCTTTTGTAGATGGTGAGAGTCTTCCAATTTGTTTCCAAGACTTGAGCTTTGATGGGTATCAACTAAAAGATATGGGCATATATGAGAGAGAAATATTGCCTGGAAATGTCTGCAGACCCGTGATGCTGAAGGTGTTACATAAACTATGCTCTATAAAAAAAGTCACACAGCTGCACTATTTCCATATTAAAGCTAAAAGGAATGCCTCTGTGTGTGTTCCTGTCCATAAATGCTTTCAGCTTTATGATTATCTGCACCCCAGATGTTTTTCATACAGCAGCTTTTTTCCTTCTTCTCCTTCCCCTATCCAGAAGCAGTCAGTAAGTAATGAGGGACATACTAATCTTTTCTCTCCCATACCCTGCATCACCTTTCCTTCAGGTTCCACTTTTCCAGAGAGCTTGTCAGGTATTGTGTGTTATGTTCTTAATAGCAGGGTGGGTTCTTCCACACCCATCTATTTAGGACTGCCATTGCAGTACTTTGATACCAGTTTTTTTAATATCATACAGTTTCATTCCCTTGGCTAGGGCAGAGCTATGCTTCACATACTTGGTGCTGGGAAAAGGTGAACTGCTTTTATATCTCCCATTTGGCTACTGAGGCTGTCCCTAGCCAGGCACAAGGGGTCAGAGGGCACAAAGGAGTCCCAGACCCCATGTGCTGAGGAGGCTGCAAGAAGGGAAGGATTTCCTGGCTCAGTACTGCCACTGACCAGAAGAGCAGTACGAGACAGCTGTTGCGCAAGCAAGAATCTGGACCTTGGTATTTCCTTCCCCGTCTTTGAAACGGGGGCGGGTTTGTTAGCTCAAGGCAAATTGATTTGTAGTGGCCAACCTGCCCCCTGAAACAGCACATGCTGGGCTTCCTCCTGGAAAACTTCCTCCTGGAGCAGGAAATGTTGCTGTAATCATAAGTTTATATTATATTAGCATAATGCCATATCAATGAGACTTTTGCTGTCTCCTTCCCATTCTGCATTTTAGCAAGACTTTTAAGCTGATCAGAAAGGATTTTTACAACCATGTTCTCCATGACATTAACAAAATTTAATAAAAACATTTTGAGTTTTTAGAGGAAAAGGATAATTTTCAAAAAAACAGTGCAACTGGAGAGTACATCTGCTTTTTCTCATACTGTGATCTACACTGACTCACTGGGTTACACTGAACAGAACTCAGAGCTGTTGGACTATGCTAGACCTATAAAGACAGTTCTGACTTTTCAAAATTGTTGACAGCTTTTGAATTATTAGTTGACCTCATCAACAGGAACTGGACACTGACTGGATACTTCTAGTTGGGAGATTAGATGATAGGTCCCAGATGTTTAGGCATTTTAGACTGTAACTAGGTGTGCCGGTCATCCTGTGCAGGCAAAATCTTACACGTAAAAGTTGCCAAATTATTATACAGAAATGAAATGGTATAAAATGCAAACTCAAATACAGTTATACTTGGCTGGGAGCTCTGAGTGGAAAAGGCAGGATGGGGTAAGTAGGTTATCAAACCTGCCTCAACAAAGATTCTGTGCCCTGTTCTTTTGGGTGAGAAGCCAAGCCTCCTGTAGACAGAAGAGCTCCACGGTGGTTATGAAGCTATTTAGAAACTGGGGAATTTGTACATAACATTAGTGATAGATTTCTGCAGTTCACATCTGTGCTGGTAACATTATTGTTATTTCATGGGAAGGTTATGGCAATCTCTTGGAGAAAAATTCAGACTGAACACTGGGTGTCTGTGACTGGGTCCCTTAAGCAGCATTTCTCCTGCTGTGCTTGATTTATTTAACTGTTGTGACACCCTCAGTGGAGGAGTGCCTCAACCCCCAGAGGAGCTGTGTGAGAGTGAGAGGAGGAGAGCAGAGCTTGCACTGTGCTAGACTTGACCAGTCTTCCACACAAGTTTCATTGGATGATGAAGGTAGAAGTTTTCAGAGACACAAGCTTATGTTGGCCTGTTGTTTCAAGACTGAAGGCATCTGAGATCTGCAAGAATACTTCCACCAAACCCAGGGCCAGTGTTCTGTCTGTCAGTAAGAAAATCAAGAAAAGCAAAGGAATGAAAACCACATTCTATTTTTTAAATATTTACACATTTAAGTTTGTTGCAATTTACATATTTACATCCTTAAATTTGCTGTGATTTCTGTGGGACTGTGCTGCACTGGTTGAAGCTAAACACTGAAAGTCTTTGCAGGTTTGGTCACTTATTTCAGCTGGGCAATTCTTCTCTAGCCTAAAGGAAGTGATTTTCTTCTCAATTTCTACAGGAGGAAAACCCAACACTGTTTTAAAAAACATTTATTAAAAAAAAGGACATCAACGTCCTCAAATGCTGCAGCTGACATTAACTTCAGCATTGTCATGTTTTCATAGGGGTTGCTTTGGAAAAAATGGTGTGTTCTGAGACAGAACAGAAAATTATGACAAAAATATAAACTAGGATGGTAATCAGAAAAAGGAGCAAGGCCTTATCTTTGTCCTGGATAGTGTTGTGTCCTTTTGAAGCCATGTTAGTTGAAACTGTAAGAAGAGCACACCTTACAAAAGTACACACCACAACTGTGAATTTATTGGGAAGGGTCTTGCTGCTCTGCATCATCAGGTAAAACACATCCCCTTCAGGCTGGGCACAGTTTGCCCAGCTGTTTTCCAATCCTGAGCATTTGTGCCAATGTGAATGTATCCTCTGAGATGATAAAATGCTGAATGTGATCCTGTGATCATTCATTTAGTCTAGGCTTTAATCACTGTGAGCTAGGGCTCAAGGCTGAACTGAGTTGTTAACCTATTGTCAGCAGCAGGTTTTGTGTCTTAAATAAGTATAGCATAGTATGGGAATGGCTTGTATGGGTATGAGCTTGGATTATAGAAGATTTTCCAGGTGAAAACAATAACAATGATATTCAATGAAGATGAAAAGGAAAGATATGACTATATAAGTAGTAGCAGTAAACGAGAGTTGATGGCAAATTGGAATCTGTAATGGCATGTCCTGTAGTACTGAGACCATGGGGGTAATTTGTGCCAGATTTTTTAGCAGTGTCCTTTCGGCAGAGATAGAAGCTTGCTTTCAGGCTTGTGCTTATACCTAACTGTAAGAGAAACTGCTAAAATTCCTTCTTTTTTTTTTTTTTTTTTTTTTAATCCTTATGGGTTGAACTGCATATTCCATGGTATCTAAAAGGAAATTTAAGAAATGGAAATTAAAAATCAACCATTTTGTGCACTCTGCATCTTCTAAGGAAGTCTGAGTGGACTGCTGGTTTGCCAGGGACATTTTTTCCATCATGGACAAATCAGATTACTGCTTTTGTGCTTCATCTGCAAAACAGATGATATTTCTTCACCTTTTAGACTCTTGCAAAGCTAAAGCAACAAATGTTTGTCATTTGCTTTGGGATTCTTGGAGACAAAATCTTTTGGTACTTTTCTGTTAAATACTAGGACTTATATGAATCATGACTTCCAGACAGGGTTTATCTCCTATCAAAGACTATAAGAAATGTAGGGCTAGGAAAACGCAGCTTACTGAAAACCATACTATATATTTGACAATCATATCCTTTCTGAAGATTTTCATGTGTTCTACCTTCAGGTTATTAACATCCTGCAGCAAGACATCACTTCAGCCTAAAGGTCTGTGGAAGAAATAAGTGATGCATGAAAGCGGATAAAATTTTTGCATCTATTCGCTCAGGATCCTGATGAGTGATACACAGGAAGAAGTAGAAGATGGTGAATTTCACAGAGAACGCAACTGTGAAGTGCACTATTAATCATGATATCCACCAGATGTTATCCCCTGTGGTGTACATATTTGTATTTATAGTAGGCTTGCCAGCTAACTGCCTGTCACTGTACTATGGGTATTTACAGATCAAGGCTAAAAATGAACTGGGTATCTACCTTTGCAATTTGACCATAGCAGACCTGCTCTACATATTTTCTTTGCCTTTTTGGCTTCAGTATGTTTTACAGCATGACAATTGGACCTATGATGAGCTGCTGTGCAAGATTTGTGGCATCATCTTGTATGAGAATATCTATATTAGCGTGGGCTTCCTCTGCTGCATCTCCATTGATCGCTATCTTGCAGTAGTGCACCCTTTTCGGTTTCAGCGGTTTCGGACAATGAAGGCTGCTGTGATTGTGAGCATCATTATCTGGACCAAGGAAATCATGACATGTTGCTTTGTCTTTACACATGGAGAGGTCAGTATGGATGCTGATAGCCATGTGGTGTGCTTTGAGCATTACCCGATCAAAGAATGGGAGCATAATGTCAATTACTACCGCTTCTCTGCTGGCTTTCTTTTCCCCTTCTTCCTGCTGGCCTTCTCTTACTGTGGGATTTTACGAGTTGTCCACAAGAGTCCTGGCACTCAAAAGAAGAAGAAAATCCAAATTAAACGACTGGTTTCAAGCACCGTTTTCATTTTTTTAGTTTGCTTTGGACCATACCACATCCTACTTGTGGTTCGCAGCTTGTTGGAGAACACTTGCTCGTTTGCTGAGAAAATATTTAATATTTATCATGTTTCCCTCCTGTTGACTACTTTTAACTGTGTTGCTGATCCAGTATTGTACTGTTTTTCCAGTGAAAGCACTTACCAGAACTTTGCCAAGATGCGAGACTCTTGTTTAACGTGTTTAGGGTGTCTGAGGCCTGAGACAAAGGAATCCTATCCGCTGAACACATCAGAACCTCCCAACAGGCCACAGCATGAGCAACTACCACAGTTATTACAAATATCACCTGATGGTGCTGAAATCAAGGACTCATCCACAACTAACATGGGCAGCCTATAGAATTCATCAAAAAAGAACATTAATCTAAAATCTGCAGCTGTGGCCATGTGGGCATATCCATCTGATTCATCAGTGTTACCTCCCAGAGGCTTATTAGCAATGTAGTACAGCGAGGTTGTTTCAGGAGGTGCCTGGGCCTTGGCAATGGTGAGGAAAGCACACACTGGGTCAGTTCAGTTACAATCATGTTTCTGTTGTTCTCATGGTACCACTCAAAAACTGTTACCCTGATGACTGCACTGACTGGAATAAGCTAGTACTCATGGTGTGTGGTTCTGTTGAATTTGTCTTTAACTGCTTTCTATTTGCCTGTGTAGCAGCTAAAGGAAATGATTGTCTATAACCTGTTGTCATATATTGAAAAGGCTGGAGACAGAACAAATTAAATGTCCCCATATGTATTTTTAAAAAGAAAAAAAGTATTTCTATAACTGAAATAACTTCTCCTTCAGCTGGTTTTGAGGCCTACAGAGACTGCCAGAACCAGCCTCCTAAACATACCAATTCAATAATATGAGATGTTCTGGGAGAAGATGTCCAAGGAACTCAGCATCTGCTGAGTCCTTCAGTCTGTTAATTTACTATTGAATTTCAGACTGTTGAACCTCATCATAAGGCTCCTATTGACTTCCAGAGGTATGAGAACTCTTGGCTCTGAGGGGGATAAATAGTTTGGTCTGTTGACTGGGAGGTTGTTAGTACATGAAGTGCTTTGAACTGATGTGCTTTTCTGAGTCACTGTGTTCAAAGACAAATCTAGTAACCTCTAAATTCTACTACACCTGGCTAAGGTTTGATTGTGTCCTTTGCAGTTTGTGTGTCTTGTGCAGCATACACCATGCAGGCAATTAAACAACAATACATTTGTTAGGGAAACTGGTAAGTGGATTCTGCTCCCACAGATATTATAGCTTGGGGTTTGGTTATTGTTCAGTAAACACAACATCAGAAATATGATGTATGAATGATATGTGTTTCCTGGTTTAGACAGAAACAAAATACAGGAATGAGCAGAGATAATGGCAGTTGGTGGGTGTTGTGGTCTATGGTAGTGTTTCTACTACCATCTCCTCTCTAGTTTGTTTGTTTGGGGTTTTTTTTCCTGTATCGTATTAATGAATCCTGTATGATTCTTCTTTGTGATCTGCTCATCATACCTTCTTGTATCTGTAACTGTTACACCATGAATATTGCTTCGTCCTTTCACTTCTCTGGTTTCAAACCCTTCTTGAAATGCTTCTGTCTCTGCAGCCTGGAGCAGATAATTTCCAGCAGGATGATCAGATTTGGGTTGTTTGGTTTTGTTTGTTAAATGTGAAAAGATTCTCTAGGCAGCCAATCTATTGCTGGTGTCTCAAGTATGTCACTGTAAAACAGCCCTGCTGGTCATCAGTTTCTAAAAGGAATATATTCTAATGGTTGTCTGGAAACCACCTTGAGAGTATTGAGAGTGCAATAGTAGGAGTAATTAGGGGATGTGTTTAATAGAGAATGTTTTTATTATTTTCTTCCTATATTTGTTCACACTGTGTTTGAAATAGCTGTCTCGTGGCTTTGGCTCAAAGTTTCTGTTTGTGTGACTGCAAACCCTTTCCTCCCTCCTCTTGCACAAAGGATTCATGCTTCCACTCCCAGGAGGGGATTAGGTTTGCTTAGGTTAACATTTGGTTTGTTTAATTACTTTACATTTCTTTATACTTAGACTCCTTCCCAAGCTGGATTTATGACCTTATACATGCATGTTTTTCTTCTGACCAGTGCTGTTTAGCTTTACTTTCTTCTAACCTTTCCTCTCATCTCCTGCCTGTACCAATGGGGTGGCAAGGCTGGGGCTTCTGACTACCCTGGTGCTGTGCCACTGCACTGTTAAGCACTTGGACTCCTATGACCTCACAGGCTGCGAGACACACACGTGGTTTGTTCTAGGATGAAATATTTGTTGTCCTGTTGTCCTGGGTTCAGCTACAGCA